TAAATAGTTGGAACAAAAATGACTGCATGTGATGTGTACCTGTTTTATGTTTTGTTTTGTTTAAAGACTTACTATTTTTAAACCTTCTTTGTTTCCAAACTTTTTACTTACAGTTTTTAGACAAATGGCAGAACAGAAGCCAGGGCTGTTTGGAACTTTAATACCCCATTTATCTCAGAAATATAGGGTTGTTTTGGTGGTTTTGTTTGTTTGTTTGTTTTCAAAAAAGTCTTAGTAATGCAGTAGTACAGTAATTCAAGGTGTGTATTTTTACCTACAGTCTGACAGTGAGCATTTTTATTTTTTTTCATATTTCCTCCTTCTTTTTGGTCATTTATGTAAATACTTCTCAAATATACTCAGAGTCCCCAGGAATTTCAAGCTGGATAAACTTTGAGCTCAAATTGCTTTTCTCCGTCTATCTATTACACAATTATTTTGCATCCTGAAATGACAGGATCTCGTGATCCGTGCACTAGCATTCCCCTGAGTCCCAGCAGAGTGCAAAGCGATGTATCTGATATTTAAACATGGTGAAGTGAGGTCTCTTAGAAGCTTGTTGTCTCAGTACTGTGAGGCTCGACGATTACTTTGTTGAATCAGTCTAACACAGTGATTCCAAATGTCATTTAATAATGATCAGACTATTTAGATGGAAGTCAGCTTCATACAGCATGAATGTCAAACATTTATACAGTTCACCTCTTTCAGTAAAAACAAACTTTGTTACCCAGTAATGCTTCCCTCTCTGTGGTGTCTATATTTAACCATGTGTAGGCATGTTCTCCTATGGTTAACACTGGCTTGGAGATTCGGCAGCTCTCTCAGGTGTTCCCAACAGGCCATTTTATGTGGTCTTGCTCCCTTCTATGATGGAAGAGACCATAAGAAAGGAAGGGAGAAAGCATATAATTTCGCTTTTACTCTTTATGTTCATATATTTCGCAAAAGATCATTAGAGATGATTTTTCAAGCAAATTTAGATAACTGACTAAAGAGTTTATTTATTTCAGTATTATTCAAATGAAAACAGGTTTTGTAACAGCTTTCTACCTGTTAATGCATTTTATGTGAAAGTGTCCACCAGGACAACTCCTAAGTGCAATGTTGGGTTACCCACTTTTTGGGCCATATACATTTCCCAGCAGATCAGAACAACAGCTTGTGCAGAGCTTTCATGATCTGGCTAGAGTATATACAGACTAAGAGACCAACAACCACTCCATGGCTGGGATCTACAGGAAATAGGTAAAATTATCACTGTCTCCTCAAAATTAGTGTATTTTAAGATACATTTAGCTTTGTTAGACGCCGAAAGGAATTTTGGACTGAAAATAGTCTGCTTGGGGCATTCTTCTCTCTCCCTCCCCAATGTTTTGGGTTTTTTTGAAGTGCCATTCTACATTTTATTCAGTGATTTCCTGTTATTTTGTTCTCCTTGTCCCCTGCAGATTGCTTCTGTGTGCACTGTCTGTCCTCTTCCTCTCTCCCTGCATGGGGAGAACCCATTTCCCTGTACCTGGTTGAGGTATTTAACAGTTACTTGACAAAAGCCAGTTACCCTATGCTGCCAGGCCTGTTTACCCCCACTCCTGTCCGAAAGCTCCTCTAGTTTTCCACAGATGCTGGCCAAGATTAAATGATCTGTGTTTGGCTATCAGGAAGGGAGCTCATATATTCACATGACTCTTAGTGTTTGGACTCTGTATGGCAGTTCAGAAATTTACTTTTCAGAGGACTGAGGTGTTGCACAAATGTTTGATGATTACTTTTAATTTGGGGTGATTTTTTTTTTTCCCTGCTATGTGGTGGGCAGGCTTGCATGATGGATGTGGTATAAGGCAATCCAAATGCACTCTGCTCACATTGCTAGCTCTTAGCCTGGCTTTAAACTTGGATTGAAAGCATTCACACTGTGGCTGGAGGTGGAGTTCAGGGGTCTTGCTGATGTACTGGGCTTCCCAGTCTGTCAACAGGAGGTTGGACCCATCCTTTCATGCTGTGTGGGTGCTTGAACACCTTCCCATCCCCTGGTAAATGCTCTGTTCATGGCCTACTCTGGGACTGGGCATGTTTTTATGTATAAATAGGGTGGACGGGTTGGGAGGGCAGTGAGGTGAACTGAGAAAAATCTTACCCTCATGCTTAACTGACAATGTAGATGTTGCTGAACTGACCGGCTTCTCTAGAGAACAGCTTTTGGCTTTGTTCCCCACTGAGCAATAAGATTTCTCCTCCATCACTGAATCGGCCAAACTGGCTTTAAAATGCATAGGTTTTTATACTCCTTTCTGCATGAATCCAGTGAATCGCAGCTGCTCTGGTTTCAGCTCCTGTCAGCCGCAGAAAAATGTCAGATCTTCTGACAAGTTCTTAGCAATGCTGGTGTAGGTTTAAATGCTATCCAGCAGTAAGAACAAATGTATTTTTAGCTATTTCTGTCAAGTGTGACATTGATGTGTCCTATTGTCAAATTAGTCCTTCGTTTTTTGTGGAATAATTTCCATGTAACTTGCTTGGTGACCTTTTAGGGGAAAGGTAAAACAGGAAATAACCTGAAGAGATGCCTGGTCAGCATTTTAGAGACTTGCGCTTGGTGCTGCATGATGGTCACAACCTGTACTGTTTAGAACAAAGTCACAGTAACTTACCACAGTGGTGACATCCCACATCAGGGTGGTAGATCAGGAGCTTGTCTGAAGATGCTGCAAAAGGTGCACAGTCCAGGCACACACACTTCTCCTAAGGCAGGTGAAAGGGCTGGCACAGGCTGTTACAGCTGAAGAGCTGAGCGCAGCACGCTGCTCTGGGATTATCAGCTGCCATGGGCCGCCTTATCTCCTCCTCTTTCTAAACAGCAAAAAATAACATGCAGGCAACCTTGGTGCTGACCAGAACTGCACTAGTGTGGTCCTGCAAGGCAGCTACCTTTAAGGAAACAGCACCTGCTCTGCTGCTTTTACCATCCCTTGTTACTTTTAAAGTCTTGGTGACCTTAAGCTGTGTGGTAGGAGTGAATATACTGTGTTCAGGAAGGCTTAGATGTTTGAATTGGAGTCTCTGACACATAATCTACTTTTTCTTTGAAGCAGAAAATGCAGGAACCTCTGCTTAAAATTGGATTTGACATAGAACCCCTGCAAGACCATGGTTAGGATTATATATTGAGAGATGAATTTATTTAACCCGAGGGCAGCAAGAGAGGATTAGATATTTTAATTCCCTCCCTTTCCCTAATGACTGTACAGAGTGCTGACACTTGTTTGGCTTGGAGAAGATGACCTGTATACTGAAGTGATTAGTGCGTGCAATGGATTTTTTAACAACTTTTACTGAAAACAAAGTGCTGTAAGCACTAAGTGCAACCAGTGGAAAGCAAAAAGCAGCCACTAATGAGCACTAGACTAATATACAGTTAGCAAGCAAGCCCTGTGTCAGGCACAGGAGCCTGTTGAATAACAGCTAAAGAGCAGTCACAGCTGTAAATTCCATCTAGCACATTCCAGACAAACCTGTGGTTATCTCAAACCTTTTGAGCCCCATGCTGGGCACCAAAAAGGACTGGCATGGTTTAACCCCAGCTGGCAACTAAGTACCACTCAACCACTTATTCACTCCCACCAGCGGGATGAGGGAAGAGAATCAGCAAAGTGAGAAAACTTGAGGGTCGAGATAAAAACAGTTTAACAGTTAAAGCAAAAACTGTGCGTGCAAGCAAAGCAAAACAAGGAATTCGTTCGCCACTTCCTGTTGGCAGGCAGGTGTTCTGCCATCTCCAGGAAAACAGGGTTCCATCATGCGTAGTGGTTATTTGGGAAGACAATGTCATCACCTGAAATGTCCCCTCTTTCCTCCTTCTTCCCCCCAGCATGATGTAATATGGTGTGGGATACCCCTTTGGTCAATCGAGGTCAGCTGTCCCAGCTGTGTCACCTCCCAACTTGTTCACCCCCAGCCTCCTCGTTGGTGGGGTGGAGTGAAAAGCAGAAAAGGCCTTAACTCTGTGCAAGCACTGCTCAGCAATGATGAAAACATCCCTGTGTTACCAATGTGGTTTTGGTCACAAATCCAAAACATAGCCCTGTACTAGCTACTGTGAAGAAAATTAACTCTGTTCCAGCTAAAATCAGAACACTTACAAAACAAAGCACATCTTTTATTATGCATAATATCTCTCCTTATGAAATCAGAATGCCCCAATCAAGTGGGACATGCAGTTTATGAATTGGTCTCAGAGATCGTGGAATTTGGGACCTATCTTGTCAAGGCAGCTGGGTGATGATTTTCAGTGCTCTCACAAGTGAGATTACTTAATAACTTGGAAAATCTATGTCAGTAGGAATTGCTGTGGTTTAGCATTTCAGAATAGGTAGAAACTTCACTGCTGAACTTGAGATGATAACTTTAGCTACCTAATTTTTAAAACATACTTGTCGGTTTAGTTTTTGCTGAGAATTCTTACATGATAGATAACTAAATGTACAGATGAGCCAAAGAAGTCCTGTAAATCAGTAAGTGTTTATTTCTTAGAGGCCAATGTGTTTTAGTATGTTTCAAAATTAAATGTGCAATTTTGCTTTTAAGCACAGGACAATTTTTTTCATTAAAAAGATGAGGCCCGAATAGAGATCCCCTCTTGGCCTTAGTCCTGTTGACTTAACAAGCGTATTACGTGTACAAACAGCTGCAAATAAAGTTTGCTCTCTTATTATTCATAATTTACTTGACTTGAAAATCAGTAAGGAAAAAAAAAGTTTCATCTATTTGGCTATTTGATCCAGAATTATGCACTTGAGGGGTAGATTATACAGATGACTCATAGGTGGAATATGTTTGGAGCATTTTCAGTTTTTTAATTAAACTACAGGCTGCTTGAATTTCTGTGAGTGAGAGAAAGGGTCGAATAAAAAGCATCAGTAATATCCCTTTCAGTTATTCCAGTGTAATTTGGCCCATATCTCTGTATGACTGCAGTCATGTGAATGTGAAGACTACTACATTTTTTTCAAGCTAACTGTACTTTGATTTTGGTGTTGTTAAAGTATGCCATCTGCTTTGTTGTTTTCTTCATTGCACCAACAGAAGGGGAATGTGCCACAGCATGGCTGCAGCCATGGCTTCCATAGATTATTGTAAGGACACAGCTGCTGTGGGACTGGAGTCAGCGTCTTGCGATGCTCTTCTACAGCTTCTCCTATCCTCCTTGTTACGGCATCGAACAAGGGCTCAGTGTCAGCTGACAGAGGGTTCGCCTCAGAAGGATCTTGGGAGAGATCAAACAGCAGCGGAGGGTCATGATGGGTTACACCATCCTCAAAACATGGGCAAATTCCTCTTCTGAAACAGGCCCCAGAGGCTTCTGGTTGAAATACTGGAGTAGCATAATGAGCTTTCCATATGGTGCCACCTGTGACGGAAGAAGCACATTTGAGCAGTTTAATGGTATGAGGAGTCAGGGGAGGGCCCTGAAAGATTGGTTCATGTTTTAAGTGACCTGCTTTGCTCCAAGGGCAAGCTTATGTTGTGGTTGTCACGTATGGGGGAAAGACTCTTTTGTGAGTTGGCATTAATTCAGAATGGTTTTTGTGGCTCATGGGCATACCTGAGCTCTGGGTCATACGCAGTATGTGGATAGTTAGGTCTGATATTTTGAGTGCAGAGAAGTCTCTGCCACTTTCCTGTGTCCCTTTAAAATTTTACATGCCTCTTTGAGGTGGGGTGGGGAACGAAGAATGTAGCCACCAATTTCTGGGTGTGGGTACTGGTAGGTGGTTCTTTTGTTGAGTCTCTCTACTTCTGAGACAAGAAGAGCACCTGGGCAGAAACTGATTACAGCTCATTTCCATGCTCAGGTTCCAGCACACTTTCAAATAGGGTGATAATTGCAAGCCATGAAAACAGTAGAAACTGGAGTCTAGTTTTTAAATTAACAGGATGAAGGCAACTAGTTTGTAGCTTTAGAGCTTGGTACTTTACCAAGCTCTTACGCTGACCAGGGAATAAGTGCAGCTCTGTAACTTGTAATGAAGAAATTACAAATGCCTGGGACTAAATCTGAATGCAGTTCAAAAGATTTTCCTTCCTCCTCTCTCCTTTGTCCCTGTTCCTCACCCCACATTTAGAAAGCACTACACTGAACTTGGAGGCAAGGATGTGTCCAACAAGAAGACTGTGTCCAAAAAAGGGAGAAGAGAAGAAAGGGGGCATTCAACTCTTGGAGCCACATCTGTAATGCATTGAGCACAAATAGCTGACAACTGCGTTGTCCCTGTGTGGCATTTTCCTTTTGGTTGAATGGAACCAGCTGAACTGTCCTTCCTTCTCTTGTCCCCAGAGCTGTTCTTCATGACTGAGAGTTTGCAGCTTTATTCATCTGTCTCTGTCATGTCACTACTGCTAGAACATATTTTGTTAACAAATAAAACTTAACTTCTTTAAAGTTGAGGGGGAATAAGTAACAGATATTAAGACTCAGATAATGTTTTAGCTTAAACTCTCTGGTTGCTGACTGGTTGGCTGACTGGCTATGTACGTTTATTTCCACTCCTTTGTTTTCATGTCCTGCTAAGCTAAGCTTCTGCAATGCTGTGGAGGGATGATGTTGCAAAATATTTTGGCATAATACATTTGGAAATGTTACAGATTTCAATATCTGCAATTCTGAAATTGTGAGAGAAAGGTTGCAGAAGGCGGACTTCTGGAAGGAAATGGGCTCACTTCCTGAAGGCTTACTAAGGACAAGTATTCCTCAGCTCTGTTTGGGTGGGAATTTGTGATCAATGTACAGAAAAACCAAACTGAGTAGTTATTATTTTCCATAAATAGTTGAGCTGAACTTCTCATAACTTCAGAGCAGTGAAGTTCAGAGAAGTGAGTGTAGAGTGTCTGAGGAGAATTGTTCAGATTCTGCAAAATTTTAACATTCGCTTTTCACAGCTGCAAACAGTTACTGGAGGTGTGGAGTGGGAGAGAGCCAAGTCCTTGTTAGTTCATTCTGAAGGATACCGTGAGGCCGATTGTAATTAACCTGTGTTGGTGAGCTGAGTAGACAGCTGGGTTACAGCAGGATGAAGAAAAAAAAAAAAGGTGGTAGAAATCAGCGTTGATGGAAGCAGCAGGGGTTTTAGTCATCTCCAAGAGGCAAAGAGGGATATGCAATTTGCTACTGAAGTAGCTCTGACAGAATTTGAAGGATGTGTGTGAATTTTAGGGCAACATGTTAATATAATATATCCAAGGGACAGGAAACCTGCTCATTCAATCCAAACATCTCTCAAACCCATCTGGTAACAATCAGTCAGTTTAACGAGCAGAAAGAAATGGACTGTCACTAAGAAGCCTTATTGTGCTGTGGTAGAGGAAAGGACTCTTTAACATATAGACAAAGGATTCTTCTGTCTTCAGTGAAGGGCTTAATTGATGAGTCCTGCCTGGGTGACCTCAGGACACAATAGCTTCATAGCTAGCTGCTGAATAGCTAGAAGTAAACAGACAATAAATATGTAATATGAACGTGATATACTTGTAAATGAGCTAAAGCAGACTCTAAAAAGTCTGTTAGCTAAGTCAGAAGCAATGGCAGTCAGAGCAAAGAATCTGGATTTCTGGCTTGATTGAAAGTTCAGGCACACGGCAATATTTGATTAGTCTTCATATGCAGAACATTACATTGTTTTCAATGTCCTTGCCATGAGCAGTTGTGGTTCAACAGGAAAACCTGGAGAAAGGCATGCACAAGAGATGTAGCTGTGCATGTGGCTTCATAGGAACACAGAATACCCCAAAACATGCATCTGCATATTGTGTCTGTGTCTATGTTACAGGTGGCCTATTTGAAACTGATCTGTAGAGCAGAAGTTATTGATGGCTTCACACTCATGCTGTGTTTGTCTGGGGGTGTTTCATTGGGGGTTAATTCTTGTGTGGTCCTGTCAACACAACATCTTTTAATGAGGGGAGAATACAAGGTATGATACTGAAGCCTATTTTATAGTTTAGTTTCATTTAAACTGAAGTAATGATCTCCAAGCCCGCTCCAGAATGCGTCCCAAAGCACAATGTATGCTCAAGAGGAGTTTGCTTCCGAACTGAACTAAAATTGTGACCTAGACAAACCTTACATAGCCTAGGAGAACAAGAGGTAAAAGCTAGGTGGCTAAACCAGCAGTCCTTTAACCTGAAAATCAGTTCTTCAAACACATCCCTTGATGGAGTATGTATTTAGCCTTTCACTAGGGAAATATGGCATGACTCTTCCAGCAGAAATTTTGTCCAAGAGTCACTGCAGTCAGACAAAGCTTTCTCTGCCCAGAAAAAAATGTATTAAGAAGAAATTGAGATCTCCAAGAAAAATGATGGATTTAGAGGCATAGGAGGTTTAAGCTTCTGACTGTTGTTTTGCTTTGGATAATGTGAACAGGTGAATGGGCTCAAGGTTAGATGTGATCAAGGCTGATGCTACTGGCAGTTTTACAGCGGGACCAGTCCATGTCAGGTGAACCGATCTCTCACATTGCTTGTGGCAGCTCTAAGAACTAGACTATCATTGTAGGTCTCTTAATTTACTGGTCTGCTGACTACTGGATACGTGGGGAGAGAGATACAAAGTGGTGACTTTCATGCTTCTGCCAAGTTCAGGCTGTTGAAATGAGAGAGATTATTATTATTTTATTTATTTTATCTTATTTTAAATTTTTCCATAACATCCTCGTCTGAAGCATCCCTTGACGCCTGACTGGCGCCCCCGGAGAGCGGTCGCTGGAGCCGCCTGCCAGGCGACTGTTGTGGCAGTTGGCCGGTGGCGGTTGGCGGTGCCGCACTGCCCCCTGGCGGCGGCTTCTCCGCCGATTCTGCGCGGCTGGCCGAGGGCAGAGCGGCCGCCGCGGTCCCGCTCAAAAAGCAGTCCCTCATGCCTGACCCTCACGGTGCTAGCGGACGGGCAGGCCCGAGTTAAGCGAGACGTGGTGGGAGGTGGGCGCTGCATACCCCAGCTCCTGCCAGCCATTTCTCTCCGTTGCTGGCCTATTTGCAACAGCACTCACCAGGAAAGGAGCACAGCAGTCCCTCCTCCTATGTTTTTTGTCTATATTTTAATCATACTAATGTGCTTACTAAAAAAAGACACCATGAAAACAAGGGAGGGAGATGATCCCTAACCTAAACTGAGTGCTTGAAGTGTCAGGTTCTGGGGTTGATTCAACTAATCTTGATTTATAATTACTTCAGAGGCCCAGTTTCCACAGGAAGAGCAAAGATGCAGGGTAGTGATTTACACGTCACTTCGAGATGATAGATATTGATTGTGCCCAGAGGAAAAACTCTAGTCCTGGTCTCCTTAGTTAAGTAATTAGTTGAAACAGACAAAGTGTTGGCTTTGAGGACTTAAAGTGTGGTTCCTTCACTGGGATCACCTGGTTTCATAGCCATGGTGGGATCAGGTCATCCAAACCCCCAGCAACGCAGACTGAGTTGCTGAGACCAGGGCTGCTTGTGACTGCACCAAGCATCAGCTCTGCCCAAAGGCCTGTCATTGTATCAGAAAGTATCACAAAGGAAATGTAAGTGGGCACAAGAAGGATCTCTCAGTTACCAGTGTGACATAGGAAGGATTTCCTGCTGGGCTGCCTAAGGTTATCTTAGCCCACAGTCAGCTCTCAAAGTGCTCTTCCAACAGCCAGCTCCTTGTCAGCATCCCAGCTGACTGTGAACAGCTGCTGGTGGAAGAATGCCCTAGCATTTGTAACTGTTATCTAATTGCAGTCTCTCAAGAAGTCCTTAATTCTTCTTTCACTTCACAGATAGGAAAAGCAAAATAAAAATTAAAGGGGCACATCTAAGTTTCTAAAGGATAGGAAGATGAGCAGACATAGCCTGCTCCATTGGCTTCTGCATTTCTCCAGCTGTGCAGAATGAAAAAACCTGAGTACGGTATCCCCATGAATTCACCACCTTACTGTCATGTCATCCAGTCACAGAATGTATAATTCATCTCAACAAACTAAGTTAATATAAAGCTCATTTTTATATCAGTCAGTGGAAAGAAAGGGGCATGACTGATCTAGCTCAGATGTGCTAATCAGAAGGAGGTGAATCATATCCTGTAAACATCCGGATCTCTCAGTAACTATAACACAACAAGTCCAGATCAAGGCACCTGCGTTTGGCCACACAAATGCCATCCTCCATTCTGAGCAGGAATAAGGACACAGCTACTGGTCATGGGCTTGTTCACTTTTACACTGTAACGGAGAGTAACATCAGCAAAGATTGACTGCTTGTTGGAAAAGGAAAGCACTACACCTGCAGTCAGCTTGTCTAATGCCACAGTGGAAAAAAATGAAACAAATAAGACAGGGCTATTGAAAACAAACTACTGCTTAAGATAAAGACCTTATGTATGCAGTTCCTTTTTCTTCAATTTTACACTAAAGCTGATCTTGAATGCTTTTGCAGCAAAAACAATAGAAACACTGCAACAACAGGGAGGCTCTGGAAGCACAACCCTTCATCTTGGGCAAGGCAGAACAGCTAACAACGAAGCCTTTCTGCACCTTGCTGAAGAACTGAGAGTCTGAGGCAACAAACGTACTCCAGATATATGTATGTATGTTTTTATATGATAGTCTATTGGAAGCTAGAGGTCATTATATCATCTCTGATCTGCAGGAGGGGGGAAATGGTTGTACTCACTGTCCTTTTGGTGCCACCGCACTGCATGCAGAAACACACCGCAGTAGTGAAACATGAACTCGTGCTCGGAGTGCTGGACTGTTCCCTGCAGCAAAGGCAGCAAGGTGTGCCCGTCAATTACCCTGATGGAGAAGACAGGAGTCACCAGGCTGCTTAAGAATTTCAGTCTGCAGCTGGAGCGTGAGCAGTAGTCGCTCTCCATGTATGCAGCCTTAGGATTTCAAGTGCCATTTCTAAAGCAAAAGCTGTGTGCACAAGCAAAACAAAACAAGGAATTCATTCGCTACTTCCCGGAGATTTTTAATTGTGTGGATGGGTGGAGACCAGTGATTAGCAGTTACTAGTAGTCTTTGCAATTACAGCTAGTTCACACATCCTGCCTGGGCGATAAGTTACCATTACTGTAAGAAAATTACAGTAAGTGATAAACATAGTGAAGGCATGGTTCACAGCTTTTAATTGCGCTTCCTGAAATGGAAGTCACCGATAGCTCTGTGAGCTTGAGGCTTCACAGAAAAAGAATTTAAAAAGCCATTTATTGCATTGACCAAGAGCTGGTTTAGTGAGTTAGTGACACACCACCAGTCTAACACAGATGTTACAAATTTCTTACTATGAAGGAAGCTACTTCTCTGGTACTGACAGCTAAATGCAGGCCATTTGCCATTTGCTTGACCTTCTCTACTCGTGAAGAGCCAAGCTTTCTAGTCTTGGAAAGGGCTTGTCCTAGTACTTTAACAGGACCAACCAGTTTTGTGAATATCTGTGGATTTTTTTCTGAAAAAGTAAGATTGAAAGAGGGTTTTTTTGTTTGTGGGTGGTTTTTTTGTTTCTTTTAGTTTTTGCAGTCATTCCATTGTCCCAGATCATCCAGGTTACCTTTTAGTGATTAGAAAATTTTGCCTTTTCCATATACGCAGACAAAATGAGGAAAGCTACACAGAAAGGAAGCTAGAGAATTACCTCATTAAGAAACAAACAGAATTAAGCCTATGGCTGTTAGGCTGCATGATATATATAGTCAGCTTCCACGTAAATCAAGAAAAGGGAGCAAATATGGTTTATGACACCAACGTTGTACCTGTCCTGAGGCACTGCCCCTCCAGCCAGGTGAACCACTGTTGGGAACACATCCATAAGGCTTGTCAGTTCATTGATAACTGTCCCTGCAGGCAACACTCCTGGCCATCTAACTATTCCTGGGACACGGATCCCTCCTTCCCAGCCTCCCATTCCTTTTCCACCTGTTAGAGAGCAAGGGGAAAATAAAAGGTTTTAAAACTTTTAGGATATTCAGGTAACTTTAATGAAAACACACTAAATCCTAGAGAACAGTGGAATGGCTACAGTGCAAATTCTGTTCTTCAAAAGTAAGTATAACTGGTCTCTCTATTTGACACTGCTTTCATATGGCAACCCAGTACTAAGCAGTACATTTGGCAGAAGAGGAACAATTCCACCCTCCTATGTCTGAGAAGACATTCCGACCCATAATTTTAATCATATGTCAAGTCTGAGAATAATCTCCACACTCCCTAAAAACATGCACAGAAAAAAAAAGGTCTGTTATTAATAAAAAGCAAAATCTGATTTGGTTTCAACAGAATAGAAGTTGCAGCCCCACTTGGTGCCCAAGGAATGAGGATTAACACAGAATGAGCTTGGTTGTCAGACAGTTCAGAGGTAGCAGGAAT